GCCCCGCCCCCCGGAGCCGCAGGAGACGGCGATGCTGGGAATGCTAATGCAGCCGGCGCGGAGAGGGTCGCTAAGGAAACCAGAGGATGGAGAGGAAGTTGTTTAATCAGAGCGCAAAAAACGCTGAAAATGGATAAAAGCAGAGCAGGAAGGTGGGGCTGGCACAAAGGAAGGGGACATGGAGCGGGGACCTTCGCTCGGTGAATGGGAACCCGTGTGAGCTCGGGCACGAGCGGAGCAGGCGGGAGCGTGGGCTCCATGTGCTCTGCAAAGGGGAAGGAAGGGAAGAGCCGGGTCCTGGGGAGGAGGCGCCGCTGCCCTCGGGCCGCTCCTGCCCACACGGTGCCCAACAAACACTCCACGATCCACCGGCCACCGCGGCTGGCAGGAGCCGTTCCCGAGGGCACCGAGCAGCGAACCGGAGCTGGAATGAGCAAAGGACACGGAGCGGGCGGCCCATGGAGGCACCACGCCAGCCCAAAGTGCCAGGGAGGCCACGGCACCTTCCTGGCTCCAGCTTGGAGAGGGGCTGGAAGGAAAATAACCCTCCGAGAGCGCCCTGCTGAGCGCTGCCCTGCAGGGCTCTGCGCTGGCCCCAGCTTGGGCAGCCCCGGCTTTGCTCCATTGCAGCAATTAAACCAAAACCCCAGCTGTAAAGAGCTGGGACTGGCGCAGCCCAAAGTGCGCAGCAAGAACAAGGCCTGGCGGCTGCAGGAAAAGCCCCCGGAGCAGCTCCCTGCGATCCCGGCCGCTCGCCATGCAGATCGCTCGCTTATACGCGATGAGATGCGAGTAACCCATGGCAACAGCTGCTATTATATTTGACATTGAAATAACAGGCGCTGACCTTAGCGGACACGTTTGCTTTGGTGGCGTCGCTGCAGTGATGGGCTCCGTTTGATCCAGCCCGGCGGGACCGGCCCAAGGGCAGCGGCCGCGTTATCCCCGGCGCCTGCTCAGGTGCAGCCAGGGCACGCGGTGCCTCCGCGCGCTATTTGCGATGATCTAGGGCTGCACCGAGGCACCCGCGGGTGGACAAGAGCACTGCAGCGCCCTTAACTCGGACTGCTCCGGAGCAGGGCTCGCCCGCGCATCAGGTCCTGGAGTGGGATGGGGCATCCAGAGGCGACTCGGGACATGGACCCGCTTCCAGCTGCTCCCAGCTTCCCGGGTGCTTCCAAAGCTCTGGACACGGTGCCACGAGCTGTGCGGGTCCCACGTGCTATGGGATCTTGCAGCCACGTCCAGCACAGAAAAACCAAGGGGCATTTGCCAGCTCAGTTCCTTGGATTGAAACAAATCTGTTTAATCTTCCTCCCTGAAGGAGGGAAAGGTCGGAAAATGGGCCGAACGGGCGCTTTCGGGTATCGAAATTAAACCTGTTAAGAAAGCTGTATCGATTTGCACTTCTCTGAGAAATATCGGAGCCGCTGGATTTAGCCGGGGTATCGATTTCCTCCTGCAGGCGGAGGACGCTGGCGCGAAGGAGACATTACGCGGGGCGGTAAACACCGTAAAACAGCGGCCGGT